GCTGGTATTCAAATCTACTGTAGTACATTTTGTAGCTATTATAGAAGCTAATATTCACTCTTGAAGTACATAGATCTGTATGCGAAGTGAGTGCCTGTTGTTAGTTTGTTACTACTATGTTAATATTCATTGGTTTAAGTTGTTTTCATTTGTTTTAAATACATTTTCGTTTTGAACTTTAGATATGCGTTTGTTTATACCACTGGTCTTGTTGCAGATGTGAAGAATTTGTGCAAAAATATTGAAACACCAGGATCCATGAATTCATAATCTTTGTTGAAACGTGAATATATGCAGATATAGGGCTTATTCACCACCGATTGTCACGTGACTCTTCCCCCCCGGCAGCGAGCATTGTCCGCCATTAGGGGGTGCAACATGGTGCCTATCGCTATGGTACGCTATGCAAACTCTTGGCGATAGTTGCGTATTTTGGGCCACAATCTACGTTTTGAACACTCTTCTTGTTAGTAACATTGTCCTTGGGTTGTTCTGGCTCCATGTCCACGTCTCATGTTCTCAAGATCGGCTTTTATCTTTTTCTTGCTGATCAGAAATCGGTGTGTTTTACCCTGGCGCGGCGTACGGGGCTGTACATGTACATGTAGATGGCAACGTGGGTAGCCATGAACACGGTAAATCTGTTGGAGCTACATGTGTGCTTGTCCCTTTACTCTGTGGTAAATGTCCATGTAGAACAGGGCGCTGACAACTTGCAACACTCACCTTGTCCAGCCACAGTCGCGGCAGTGCGGACTGAGGAAGGCGGCCGATGGCCCCCGCAGCCTTTGCTTGTTATTATCCAGACACAGTCCGGGGCTGTTCCAAAATAGCGACTTTTTGCGTTTCCCGACTGCAACGTACTTGTCACCACGCAACTGCCCCACAACACTGAGGCTCTACACATCCTGATACAATGCTTCCAGACTCTTAAAGGGTTTGAACCGATCCTGTGTGTAAAAACTTCTGCCCAGTACCAAATACGAAGCGAAGTCACGTCAATGGACTCTGCTGGCGGTAGACGCCGTCTCGATCAGACTGATCAAAACTCAACAAAAACGGGTCAATCCCAACAGATTTTATTTTGTTCCAGTAACGAGAGGTATGAGTGGTGGTAAACTCTTCGTGTAATAGGACAAAGGACAGTTTACCTAACGTTTGTCGGCCATTTCAACGCTTGGAAACTCGCTGTAGAGATGCACCCCAAAATGGCGTCGCACGGGACGATCTACGCAAAATGCGCCAATTACACTCTACGTTGAATTAGTGCGGTCCGTCTACGCTCTACGTAGAATTAAAAAAGCCGATTACGCTCAATGGAAAAGGGCATGCGGGCCCCCATGTAGGAAGATCTGTATGTTTTTTTCTTGAGGTGCAATGACCCATTTTATCTGACCACTTTAATGCAACGTTAGACATTGTCAGAACATTCTTCACGAAGCTTTAATTCCATGTAACGTTACCATGTTATTTGTTATCCTGATAATTGCTATTAAGGCCACACCAATTTGATTTCTTGGTTAATGGATTTGCCCGCTTCATTATTTTTTTTTTGCTTTGCAAAAAAAAATTAAAAAATTAAGAATCAACTGCAAAATGCTCATATTTTGTCCTGAACAGTTGAAAACAGTCCTTTTCTTCCTAGTTGTTACAGTTATTCCATCTTTCAATGCAATGGTATCATTAAAAGTTCAAAATTCATTGCTAAAATTTTGAACCAGCCTGGTGTGTTGACTTCATGGCTCCTATCGTACCATTTTGGGCCATAATAGGATGCCTAGACCTATTTTTATTTTTTTTGCCCGCCCGCTCCTTCCGCTGACACTGGTGAATCTCGACACGGGGAGATTGAATTGCTACAATTGGTTCAGTTGGTCGCCCATGCAAACTGGTGAAAATGAAATGTCCCAAGCTGTATATACAGTACAGGGCTGGAAATACTGGGTGCATGTTCACCGGCCACCTTATGCACCTTAGTGCACCCAAATTTGGAGCTGTGCACCCAACTTATTTCTTTGGGTGCACCAGTGCACCCACATATTTTTGGAGGTTTGCATTATATAAAGATGTTAATAAATGTAAAGTAGTATACAACATATTCTTAACATCTAAGTGTCGGAAAAATAATAAAATCATTGTTTTAGTAATTTTCTTTAGAAATGAAACATAATTAGTTTTTGCTGACATTCTATTTTTTATTTTATATGGTGCACCTAAAAAAACATTTTGTGCACCCAGTTTTTTTAGGTTGGATGCACCAGTGCACCTATTTCCAAAACTGAATTTCAAGCCCTGGTACATGTGTTGTTGGTATAATTATACACTGATCAGGGCTTTACGGTACACTTGTTCCAGATTACTACACTAGTCAACCATCAAGAGAAGAGAATCAGGAGAACAGAGAAGGCCTGTCGTGCTGTCCAGCGGGTGGGCGAGGCGGTCAGTCTGGCCGTGGACCGCTTCGTGACGGTCGGCCAGGCCATCGGAGACCAGAACCAGGAAATCAGACAGGAAATGTACGATGCCTGTCAGGAAGCCAGAGCAGCAGGTCAGCTTTTTTTTTTTCATCCCATTCCAGTTTAGCTTGGCACTACTGGTACATGTATCTGGTATCAGGGTTGGAAATACTGGGTGCATGTGCACCTCAGTGCACCCAAATTTGGAGCTGTGCACCTAATTTTTTTCTGTGGGTACACCAGTGCACCAAATTTTTTCGTAGGTTTACATACTAGTAAATGTAAAGATGTTACATGTATAGTAGTATACAGCATATTCTTAACATCAAACTAAGTGTAAAAAAATACATGTAATAAAATAATTGTTAGTTATAGTACTTTTCTTTAGAAATGAAACATAATTAGTTTTTGCTGTCATTCTACTTATTTTATCTAATATGGTGCACCCCAAAATTTTTTTGTGCACCCAGTTTTTTAGGTTGGGTCCACCAGTGCACCTATTCCCAAAAATGAGTTTCGAGTCCCGCATTTGGCAAAGGTTGACGAGATCAAACAAAAATTTATGGTAAGTTCCTTTCTTGTGTTGGAACAAAGCTTGAACTCTAAAACTAATGATTAAAAGTTGCTCTTGTCCTCCTGTAGGTGACAGTATTGCTACCATCACAAATGTCCAGTACCAGCCTGGTGATGAGGAGCTACTGTTTAAGGATAAGAGTCAGATGGTACGAGCAGCTCGGGCCCTGCTGTCATCTGTAACTAAAGTACTCATGGTGGCCGACAAGGTCACGGTCAAACAGCTCTTATGTGCCAAAGACAAGGTGAGATTCCCCTAGCCTCCTTCGCAGTCTTGTTGGGCGTGGGCATTATTTTTGTGAGCGACGCGAGTAATATGCCACCACGAGGGACGATTTGCTGCCGAGGGAGTTTTTGCCACAGAGAGAAGGTTTCGCGCTTAATGCTGGCTTCATCCGAGGTCCTTTTTAGTCGCTGACTGGAAGCAGTCTTGTTGGAGCGCGAATCCTTCTCTCCGCGGCAAAACTCCCTCGGCAGCAAATCGTCCCTCGCGGTGGCATATTACTCACGTCGCTCACAAAAATAACGCCTACGTCCAACAAGACTGCGATGGAGGCTAAGATTCCCCAACATGGTTGTCTGAACATGTATCAAGCTTAAACCTCGGTCACAACCCGCCGTACGTGCTTTTTGTCTGTACGTTTTATTGGGAGGCCACGTCTGCTACGTTTTTTCTGAAAACGTAGGGAAGGAGTGGCGTTGACGCACGTCATTCGCAGGGTTGTGCAAGGTGTAAGAGTGTGGTCTGCACGCCAAGTCTGGCCGTGAGCGGTTGCGTGCATCGTTCGTTGCGCAAGTGGAAAGTGAGTTGTACGTGCTTACAACGTACGATCTCTGTGCGATTGCAACTTTACCATAAGGAGGCCGTACTCACACGTGCTTCTTAGTACAGTACGTACGCATGGGTGGTGAATCCGCAGACCGCACGCAGAAAAAGTTTTAAATGCACTTAAAGTTCTACGGCGTGTCTGCATGCTCCCAAATCCATAGGATTCCATGCTTGTCGAAAAGAGCTAGGGGAATTTCCCCGGTACAATGAACCTGTAAATACTGTACATAGCTTCTGTCTTCTCTGTCACTACCAGTGGAAGATTAGCTCTTCAATGAGCTAAATTGGATCAAGATCACTTTCTTTCTTTCTTTCCTTTCCAGGTTCTGTCCAGCCTAGTGAATCTGGAGGAGGTGTCCCACTTCTCTGAGTTTGTTCAGTTGTTCAGTCAGTTTGGGACAGAGATGGTGGAGCTGGCTCATCTGTCAGGAGACAGACAGGCAGTGAGTACACACAAATACATGGACATGTCAGGAGACAGACAGGCAGTGAGTACACACATACATGTACATGTCAGGAGACAGACAGGCAGTGAGTACACACATACATGTACATGTACATGTCAGGAGACAGACAGGCAGTGAGTACACACATACATGTACATGTCAGGAGACAGACAGGCAGTGAGTAATAATGAATGGTTTATTTATTTCAATACCAATGCCTCAAACATTGCAGCCAAAATGGCTGAATTGCGTCAGGACATTTACAATTCGAATAGAGACATGATTAAAACATATACTGCAACTAGTTATTAAAAACCGATGTCAGCGCAACTGATCGAAATTGACAATAGGTGGTACAATTGGTCAAGGGCAGTATAATGTGTCACTGTGGTATCATATAAGGTAGGGCACTTGACCTTTGGCCACTGTTACTGTTTTCCTTTTCACCCGCGTCGCCATTTTTCTAGAAGTTCCGAGCTGTTTTTACTGACAAATTTTTTTATCGCTTTAAACATTTTACGGCCTCAAAACTGATATGTTGAAGGAAATAAGTTGTTATTTTTATGTGTAACATTTCTTCTGGGAAGGAATCATTTTTTACACTGCTCGGCGGAAGATAAAGCAAACGAAGTGCAAAGTATATATTTTACCGGAAAAATATTGAAATAAAACAATAGGTTGGCACAAACTTAAGAGCAGGGTGGTGCTTCAGTCAGCGAATGGGGCCTGGAGCTCGTTTATTTTCAGCTCACGGCTTGAGTTCTACAGCCATTATCTAGGCAAAGGTCTTAATTTTTGATTGTCGACTGGTGCGAACGTGATTTCAAATATAGTCGCACCGTCAAAATTCTGGGCGCATGTGCAACAAAACCAGTCGCAGTCACGAGCCCAGGATTCATACATTAAAAATACAGCAAGTTGATAGTAAATTCTTTGAAGAAAACCAGGTTGTGACAATCTGATGTATTTTCCTTTATTTTATCTTCAGGACTTGAAGGATGAGCGGGCGCGAGCAAAGATGGGAGCAGCTCGGGCAGTCCTGGAGAGATCTACAATGATGCTGCTTACTTCCTCTAAGGTTGGATTATGATATTTATAATTATGTTTACCGAAGGAAAACATATTGTTTTTGCTCTGTTTCTTCACCTTCTTCTTCTCCAAACAGTGACCTCTGACCTGACCAATGACATGATTTGTTGACGTCTGTTACCATGGTGACTGGTGTTGGGTTACATAATGTTGCAATTTCATGGTCTGCTCTGCTCCTGTCACCATATACTAGTAGTACATGTATGTGAATGTGTTTGAGTTAGAATTAACAGAGCAGTCCAGGTCCGAAGGTAAACATTATGCATTTGCTTTGCAAATGTTACTTCTCTAGTTATAATCAGTATCATCATTGGTATTACCCTTCTTATTGTCATACAAAATCAACTAAGGCAACTTTTTATAGCATACCAGTATTTCACTCCTTGTCCCTCTGCAAAAATCTCACCCTCAAAATAGCTCTTAACCTCCTCTGGTCTTCATTATCAAATTATTTTTCATGTCTTTTTCCTGCCCTGCTGATAAAGTTTTAACACTGTGGATCTTGTCTACAGCATCAAATCCCACGCATATCTGCTGATTAGCATAGCATCAGATTACCAGCATTAAAATGATTCTTTCTGGAGGTACAAGGCCTTCATGATACAAACTTTAGGGGTGCCAAAGAATTAATCAGAATTTTACGGAATTCATATGATCCATTACTAGATGCATACAAAGTTTACGGAATACATACGATCCATTACTACAATGTAGAAACATACGAATTTTACAGAATACATACGATCCATTACGCGGAAACATACGGTCCTTACTAATTTGGTGACTTGCACCACGATCACGTGACATCGGCAGCAAATCGGCAGACTATTATAGTGCTGTTCTCCCTACAATATCTTGGTTTCAAATAACTTTAACTTAAAGGCTTATCCTGCCCTGGTAAATCCCAAACAGCACTTATGTGGGCTTCTTTTACAACATACATAGTAGCCTGTATTTTAGACCAAATAGGGCGATGCTGGGAATCGGTGGAACCCGTGATCACGGTGGCAAGTCACCAAATGACCCCAAATAGTAAGGATCGTATGTTTTCTCGT